CATTGCTTCATTGGTTCACGCTAGTCACTATTTCCAGCTTAATGTGGCGCCTCCACGGCCAACGTTCGTGACGCCGTAATTGAGTATGTTTTTCAGCCTGGCTGCTTTAGGCAAGTGGTTTGAAGTAAGCCCGATTTACTGAATTTTTTAGTCCCATCCTGACTACAATTACACCTCTTTTACACACAAACGCTGTGAACACTAGTAATTTTAATGGCTGTCAATGACAAATTTGGTGTTTACCCGTTCATACAAAATTACTTGGTTTGCTTTTTTTTTTTTAAATTCTTATTCAGTGTTGGCTGACCATACTTTTAGTTAGTTATCATTTTGCATGAAATCTTGATCGCTTAAATAACGGCAGCAGTTCAATAATTTGAAATGACAAGGTTTTGAAAGTGAACGCCTGATATCCATTATTACTTTTGTCGCTACCGGCCGTTTTATCGAGTTAGGATGTAACGATATTCTGTTGTTTTTAAAACTTATTTATTGCTTACAGCGACATATGGAGTCTTGAATTTTCACTTCTTGCTTTCTACAGTCATCCAAACTTTTCGTACTTTTAACCGTGCTAATAGAACTTTTGCAGTTGCTAAATGGAAGAGGTACAGTGCATCTTATTTAGAATTGCTAAGTATTACGACCTTTCTCTGCTCCTGCCAGCTTCACCCTTCGCTTTGCTTTAACTAACTAATGAAAGCAGTAAGCTGTCAACAATTTCTCTCACCTGAATTAATTACTTTGCAAAAATTTTGTCCACAGTATCACAAATATCTCAGCCTTTTAGTGTTGGTCATCCTTTGGTCCGATTTCAACATAATTATATGCTCGAATAGCAGCCATGAGGGTGGATCGAATTTAGAATTCAGTGAATGATTTTTGGGAGGTATTAGAGAACAGGTGAATATCTGAGAAAATAGCTGCAGGCAATTACGCTTTAAAAATAGGGATTTATCGTGAAAGAGAAGGATTTTACCGATTTTGCCGTTCTTGCCTTTGACCTTTTCTCGCTCTTTCCACGGAGCCATCAGTTATATTTTACTTTTGTCGATTATTCGAGCAAA